GAAATTACTCCATTATAAAAGTTGGTTTTAAAGGGTTTTGCTAACCTATGGCCCACTGTGCAGTGTTTCGCTGGAACGAAAAGTCGGATTTATTTTTTGCGAATCGCCATTAGCGAAAACTAATCAAACTGTGAATATTATATCACGTGATACCAACAGTAAAAAAAGAGAAAGCACTTTGATCACGGCGATTTCTTTTTTATTGATTTTCTCCCTCTTGCTATGATTTACGAAGCTTTCGGATTCGGATGTAACGAAAACGGTTTATTTTGTTTTTACGCGCCAAGTAATTTAACTTTCTCCGAATAACCTATAAAAAAATTCATGATGATTTCTGGACTATCTTTTTACAGATAAAATAATTTACGCAGCTCAAATGATTACCCTCTAATATTAATTTATAATAAAGCACAGTCTGAAGGCTCAACACCTTCAGCCTGGAAGCAGTCACACGTTACACCGTTAATGCTGCTAATTACAGACCAGTGTCTATCACTTCAGTTCCATGTAAAGTAATGGAAAAAATTATCAGGGAACAGATAACTAAATATCTTGAACGAGCTGCATCTCAAACAATCAACATGGATTTATGTCCAAAAAGGGATGCACGTCTAACTTATTGGAAAGTGTCTACTACATTACAAAAGCGTTAAGCAAAATAAATTTGTCGATATTGCATTTTTGGGCTTTGTAAAAGCGTTTGATAAAATTTCTCATTGTAGACTCCTACATAAATTGAAAGCATATGTAATCAATAATAATGTTGGCAAATGAATTGAGTCATTTTTGACTAGCAGAAAACAACGAACTGTTTTAGGTAATCACTCTAGCGACTGGACCGATGTTTTAAGCGGAGTTCCACAAGGGTCTGTACTTGGTCCATTATTATTTATCATCTACATAAATGACTTAAGGGATAATTTAAAATCAGTTCATAAAATCTATACTGATGACACTAAACTGTTGCAGGAAATAAGACCTGAGTTTCACGATACTGATTGTCTGATTCTTCAAAATGATTTAAACATTGTCTCAGAGTGGTCAAAAGAATGGCTTATGGAATAAAATCTTGCAAAGTATAAAGGCATGCACCTTGGTCATGGAAATATAAATAATGAGTATGTAATGAATGATGGTAATTCATCTCTTATTATAGCGGTAACGAATATTGAAAGAGACATGGGTATCTTTATATCTAACTATCTAAAATGGAATCAACACATACAGGTTGCGACATGTAGAGCAAATATGATACTTGGCCTACTAAAAAAAAACATTTAGATCAAGAGATATGAAGCTTTGGGGTAAATTATATACTACATATGTTAGGCCGCACCTGGAATTCGCTGTTCCGGTATGGTGTCCTTACTTAATGGGCGACATCAAAGATATTGAAAAAGTTCAGCCCAAAGCAACAAAAATTCCTCATGATTTAACAAGTTTACCTTATGCTGAAAGCGTTTTAATTTTACTTCTTTAGAAACTCGCAGGCGACGCGGCGACTTGATCCAGTTTAAACTTGAAAACGGTTTTGAAATTATTAATTGGCATAATCCACCTCTTTGCAGATCACCATCCAACGTACTAACGCGTGATTTCACTTACAATAATGCTCGACATATTTCTTCACAAATCGTATTGTGAATGATTGGAATTATTTACCGTTATAAAAAGGCTCCGTCAATTAACGCATTCAAAAGTAGAATTGATAAGCATTTTTTTCCTACAGCTGCAAACAGTACATCTTTTACTGAAGATGAGCTGCACGTTTAATTTAATTAATTCGTGCTTGAGCAGCTACAAATATTGACTTTTTAGGTACATTTCTCATAAACGTAAACTGTAATTAAATAAAAGCAAAAAAAAAAAAAAAAAAAAAATTAAAAAAAAAAAAAAAAAGTTTTTTTTTTTTAATCTGTTTATTTGATTGTTTTTTTATTAATTTATTTGTCATGTAATCTATAAAGACTTATTTAAATATATTACTATTACTATCAAACTCGTGAATAGACTCCATCCATGATGCATCTTATGATCTAAAAATTCACTCATGGGTTCATAATGTGTTTATCTAAAATTCCAGTTTACAACATATACCTTCTGATGACTGATGTCGTAAATATTTACGTATTTCATTAAAAAACAGTGATTTTTATGTCTATTTTGCTTAAAACTACTATTTAACTGTAATTTAGACATATATTTTGAGATCCAGTTGAAATTTATCTTTATAAGTAATAACATTGATAGTTAGGGAAACCGTCATTTAGTCTATCTAGCTGATTATTTCTAGTTTTAGAACTAGTTTTAAAAAAAAATTGAATTTCAATATTAATATAGCTTTTAAAGAGCAGATTTTATAAAAAACACACGATATATATTTACACTTAAAATAAAATAACATACAAAAATACATAAATATATATCTATAGTCCTAATTCAATGATAAAGATTGTTTTTTGCAACTTTTCATAAAAATTTGCGGACGTTTTGGACCAAATTTCGTATTTCTTAAGCCTTAACTCCATACAAACGAGTTTCGAATACAAAAGGAAAAATTGTTTGATGCCAATTTACTGTGTGATAAACATTTTATTTAAATTTGATTTGTCTGTTAATCTTTATCTTGTTTTATAAACTTCATCTTTGCTCCTCCAGTAACTTCCTACTATAATAGTGGTTGCTTGCAGCTATGTTGGAAGTAAAGATGCTAAATAAATTTAAATATGAACGTATAAGATTATATGTAGTGGATTATATTATAAGATTATATATTTTATACACCCAGCGCCTTGGCTAGTAGATCCAAGGCCTCCCATCTCCACCCCCCTACCCCAAAAAAAAACAAAAACAATAACGATCCCAAAATTCTTTAAAATTTTTCAAATAGGTATTACTAAAAAAATACAACGTGAAATCGCTGACTAGGAAATGTGACATTTCGCAACGTTAGAATTGTCTTGTTTTATCTCTACATTTTTGAGTTTTGAGATGAAACAATTTGAAAAATTTGAAAAAAAAGACTTAAGGTGACGGCATATAAATTTTTTTTATAACTTATGTTTTCTCGGTAACTTTTTAATTTATTTCTTAAGTTTCAATACAGTAGAAAAACATTATTCTGAGTAGAGATGTACCGGATATTTTTGCCTATACATTATTAACGCATATACCTGTGTTATACCAGTTTTTTCCTGATTTTATTTTTTTAAATCTTGAACACTATTTAATGTAGAATGTTAAGACTTGTTTTTTCTTCATAAACACTTATAGAACTTTAGAAAAGTTCAATATCCGGCATATCGGGCAAAAATATCCGGTACACCTCTAATTCTGAGGTACCCAACACTTTCGATAACTCAATTTTTTCAAAAAGTGAAGATGGAACAAGATAATTCTAACGTCACGATTTTGCGAGATACCTTTAGTGTTGTTGGAGAAATATGTTAACTTGTAAAGTTTTTAACCTAAACGATGACATTTGCTTGGAAACATTAATGAGCAGGGGTGGCGGAACAGTGGGGGCTTTAAGGATTTTAGCTGCTAGAGGTCAATTAGTATTTTGTATTTGAAATATTAACTTAACGTATTTGCTTCGAACCACTTTTTACAAGCTTCTAGGGAGCAATTAGCGTTTTGTATTTGAAATAATAACTTTATGTGTTTGCTTTGAACAATGTTTTACAATTCATAAGGGAGCAATTAACGGTTGTGAATATTATATAATTCTATATATAAGCACATTTTACATAATTCACAAGTCCTAATCTTACGACTAGTATTTCCTTATAACTACGAAGAGTCATGACGGAACCGTTTTATAAAAAACAACAAACACTGATTTCTTACTTTGTACTTAACAAGCATTCTTTAAGTCCAACTGTACATAAATCCATACATAAATCCAACTGTACCAACGGAAGAAATTATTCAAAAAGGAAACGACTTGAAAAATCTTCCTGCTGTGAGTGGAATACCGAAAAAACAGAAATAAATCCTGCTGATATTGAAGCAACCAAAAAAATGTATGGCAAACAACTTAGATTTTTAAATGAAAAATTGATTATAGATTACCCTTGGATTCATCTGTCATTCCAAAAAGAAAGTATTTTGCTATATTTGCATTAGTGATGTCAAGTAAATATGGTATCTTTTTCGAAATGCGGTGAAAAAAATATTTTGACAATTGAAGACTCCACGGGAAGAAACGGCAGGGTCACATTTTCTCATTTTGCGATAACTCATTTTTAAACTTTTAAACCTATATAACTTTTTTATTTTTAGGGAAAAGATTAAAATTTTTAAGATATATTACAAAAATAACCAATTTTTTATGCAATAAAAGTTGCATTTCTAATTTAAAAAAAAAATTTACGTGATATACTTTCTTTTTTAAGTGAGGTTTTTTGTGGACTCTGCCGTTTTTTCCCCGGTAAAATGTTTTATTTTATTTTATTAGTTTTAAGATCAAGTAAAAAGCTAAAGTATGAATTATTTTTTATTAGCTTATAAATTAAATTAGGCAGAAGCTAATTTTATCAAACAACCTAACCACCAAGACCAAATATTGATCATTTAAAAGATTAGGGGGTTGAACTAAAATTAAAAATACTGTTTAGTGTTGATATTTTCGTTTAGAAAATAATTATAGTTTTCGTTAACAAAAGGTTTCATTTTTGTTCTTTTTTCGTGCACAAAAATATCACTTACAGTCAACTCTCAATATCTTTAATACTTGATATCTCAAACTTTTTTGAATCCAGTCGAACCCTTATTTATGGATTATACTCTCGATAACTCAAAAATTCTTTAATCTCAAACTAATTAATCGGTCCCTTGCAGGTTCGAGATATCAAGAGTTGCTGTAGATATTTTGTATAGAGAATGATTATAGTATTAGTTCTAGTTCTCGTTTACGAATGACTTTAATTCTTATTATAAATCTTTCATTCAAAAATATCACTGTTGATAAAAAAGTTCATTTTGTTTTTTATTTAAAGGTTAACCTATTAAATACCTATATAACTATACCTATATAGGTGTCACAAAACTGTGAGCAAAAAGTTATTTAATGCAAAGTTTCTTTCCTGATAATAAAGGGGATTTAAAACTTTATAGGTTTTCAAACAACTCAGAATTTATTTGATCTGAATTTTTATTTTCATACCCTGACTAATAGTCAAAAGATATATTCAATACCTTGGGATTATTAATTATATAAATTGTTGTATATTAAGTGCAAAGAAGAAACATTAAAGATTATAGATTTTTTCAAAAAACACTAAGAAAAAAATAACTAAAAACAAACTTTAAATCAAAAAAGAAGTCTATTTACTCTTTATTTTCAGAATCAATAATTTCATGAATTGTCTCAATAACCTCCTGATTGTATGGCAAAGAATCGTAAAACTGAGCATTCGATGTAAACCTTTTTAATACTTGTAAATCTCTGTACTTTGCTACAGAGATGCAAAGTTTTGCATTATACAGAATGGGGATCTCACTATTTATAGTGTTCTTCCTATTATTTTTTAAATTAGTTTTCAACAATAATCCATTCCACAAATCACGATGAAATACAATGCCACTTGAGTCTCCTCTGAAACAAATTTCACAAAGAGGACGTGTTGGAATTGGACATTTATTCTTATAAAATGGTCTTATAAAATCAGTTATACTTTTAACCATACCTTGCGTTAATTCTATAACATGAAACGGAGTGGGGTTTTCACAAGCATTTTTGAATGTTTTAATCCAATCTGATGGATCACTAGTGGGTGTTTTGCAATTAATTAATTCCATATCTTTATCACATTCCATAAAAGAATGACCACGTTCTGGAAATGTAACTTTAATATAGTCAAACCTTTTTTTTTCATGTACAAGAAAATCCATAAAACGAACTAATGTATAGTTTTTGTTTTGGCCACCACATGAATCACAAAATAGCTCTACAGATCGAATTTCTTTGTCTAAATGTTTTATAAAAAAATCATATAACATCGAAGTTACCTCATCAGCCCCTTTTTTAGCTATAGTTTCATCATAACAATACAAATAAACTTTATTACTTGAAAGCACGTGAATATTAAATGAATAAAATGCTAATTTTCGTTTGTAGTAAAAGTCGTTGGTTGATTGATTTGGTAAGTTAAGATTTTTTTGGAAATCAAAAGCAATTGCCTCAAATTTGTACTTTGTAATTTCTTTTCCTGACATAAAATGTTTCTGCATCTTTGTGGTGCTGTTTTTTCAGTAACTCAAGCTCATGCAATTGTTGTTCAGGCTTTGTACATTCTGAATTAAAAGATAGTTCAATTTTTATTGCATCAGTTTTAATTTTAAACTCATCACATTTTGAACATGTGTCAGTCCTAGGGTACCCAAAAGAAATGTTAAAACTAGTGTTAAATATGTTGCGATAAGATTCATATGACAATTTATCATTTGCACACTTGATTTTAAACAAGTCATACATCTTGGTTATATTTAATTCTTGAGGAAGATATAGTCGCCTAGTTTTTTTTTGAGAGTAGTGGGACTCTCTACCTCTGAAAGAAGAAATGTGATCACATATTTTATTTTTTAGTTGAGGAGTAAAATTGTTATACTGATTCTTGTGTTCACCTCTTTTATCATGGGGAAAGTGACCTATAACGAGAAAAAAAAATTTATATATAAAAAAACTTATATATAAGATAACTTCCACTAAAAATTGTCATTTTGTATTCAATAAAAATATATAATTTACCTGTAGTTAAAAGGCTTCTTTTAATGGTCTCCAATCTTCCCTTCTTTATGCCAAAGATTGAAATAAACGCAGAAAAACAAACATAAACAAACGAACTCGCAAATATCTCGTGATTTGTAATAAAAAGTTTATATGTGTAACTGCTATTATAACCTTTTGAATTAATGTTTCGTGGTCTTCTTCTTGAAACGTTATTTAAAGTTATTAAACTTGCAAGATACGAACCTTGAGCATCCTTGCTGGATAGAGAGTTAAAATATCTTATTAACACTTTTCTATCTTCTTCTTTAACATTATGAAAACATTTCAGCCTTATACAGTTACATCCAAGCCCTGTTTTATGCGATGATAATCTTTGTTTCTTTATAATTTCACGCAATCTTTCCTTACTTTTTCTTTTCTTGGATTTCTTTAGCATTTCTATTGGTATTTCAAGTATCGCCATTTTTATTATTTAATTTACATTAACCAAATCACCTGTGATTATTTTGAAAAACAAAGACTTATAGCCGTAAGTATGAGTCTTGATAACTCAAAAAATAAAAATGGTAAACTTGGTTTATGTCTATTAGTAAGTTGCGAATATTATTTAAATTCATAAACACTTGTCTTTTCGGGGAGGTATGTATTGTATAATAAAAAAAAGTGATTAAGTTCCATCAAACTATAAAGGTACATCCAATTGTTTTTTTGATTTGAATTCAAATAAAATGTATAATAATATTGTTTATAAAGTTAAAAAGTGTAAAATGTCAAAACTTTCAAAATGTGACCCTGCCGTTTCTTCCCGTGGAGTCTTCAATTGGTTATGACAATTGAAAAAGGCAGTTGAAAGACTAAGAAATTACGACTTATCATCATATCATAAGAAAAAATTATTTACACTACGTGCAGCAGGTTTAAAAAACATATATAAAATGATAAGTGAAATGCTTAATTCGTGTAGTCTCTTCATTAAAATGTGTTATTCAACAAGGCTTAGCTATTCGACGGAATGATGAAATTGATGGCAATCTTAATCAGTTACTTTTAATGAGTAAAGATTATCCACCTCCATCGAGCTGGCTGTCAAACAGTAAGTACATGTTTCATGATATTATAAACGAGATGATAGAATTAATGGTAAATTATGTGCTAAGAAATGTACTTAGTGCTATTATATCGATAATTTTTTTCCTGTATGCGATGAAACTCGAGACATCAGGAAATGTCTATATGTGTTCGATGAGTCTCTGAATATTTAACAATAAACGAAGATTTTCTTGGTTTCTACGTAGTTGATGCTACCGCCAGTAAGTCACTTTTTAATGCAATATGTGATATTTTGTTAAGATATAGACTAGACAAGAAAATGTCAGGGCATCTAAGTGGTGTTGCTAAACTATTTCAAGATGATGTCAATGAAGCGATTTTTATACATTGTTACGCACATCGGCTCAACCTTGTTCTTCAAGATGCTTGTAAACAAGTCAGTTTATTGAGCGAGGGACAGGAATTGTGCCAGCTACTGTATAATTTCATTTGTTTAGCTCCAAAAGAGACTGGTAAGGTTTAAAAAATTACAATGCAACTTGACAAGGATGTCAAGCAAATCAATTTAAGTGCTCTTTGTCCAACTCGTTTTTCCGCGAGGATCAAATCATATGGTTCAATTCTGACAAACTTTCAAGTAATTGTTTTGGAGCTTCAAGAAATTTCTGAATCAAATAATCCTAACAGAGCTAAAGCAGAAGGTTTATTTGATAAATTATCATTTCAATTATATTTTGGGCTTCGCCTGGCTTATGTGTTTGCAACTGTAGAGCAAGTCTCTCAACATATGCAACCTGCTGAGATAAATGCTCAAACAATTGCTTTATCAATAATATTATTACAAATTCATATCTTATCTATGAGATCAGAAACACATTTTAAATCATTTTTTGAATTTGTGTTAGTGAAGGAGTTAAGAAATTTGGTCGCAATTCACCTGCATACTTCTTTGTCGTGTCGACGTTTAATTTTTTATCGCTTTGATGATAATACTTTGAACATTCACAAATAGGATACGATGGAATATTACCGAGCTCAGTATTACGAGGTACTTAATGTTATAGAAAGTTAATTAAATCAGCGGTTCCCAGCAAATTCAATGGAATCAATTATTACTTTAGAAAAGTTATCATTGCCCACTGCAAATGGTGATACGGTCATAAAAGCTTTAGATAATATAAAGGTTTTCTATAAAAAATGATATAGTTTTAATACTTTTTACATGCATCGAAACTTATAGAATTAGACATAAAATAAACATTTTATATATGTTATAAATTTCCTAATTACCCCCCCCCCCCCACAATTTTTATTTCCTTCCGCCACCACAACGAGGCATTAAATAATATCATAATCATGACTACTAAACAATTTTTGTCGGCAGTGATAATATTGAAAACATTCAGCTAACGTTCATTACAGCAATAGTAGCAATGTACTTACATTTACGAGCAATTTTATTTGAAGTTATTTCAAAAAATATGACCAAAGTATTTGATTATTTGTAAATAAATCATATGAACGGTTAAAAACCTTAGAGGTTAAATTGGTTAACATAAATGCTATAAATATTGAAGCATAATTTTGTATAAAATACAGTCAAATGATTTATTTTACCCAATTTTACCTAGCGTCATTAAAAATTCCTTATTCTAAAATCATGTTGTCACAAAATAGTACGGCAAGTCCTAAAATTTTAAGTACTATATCGGTTAATATAGTATTAATAATTTTTCTAACAATTTAAACTGAAAAGATATAGCCATTACATATATTACACATTAGCATTTTAACACACAAAAAATTCTTTGTTAAAGTTATTCTCAAAAAATCATTTCTTAGAACCCGACCACCTTAAAAACATTTATTTAATTATCATTGAACTAAATAAATTTTTTTAAGGTGGTCGGGTTTTACATTGAATCAATGTAAAATATTTCTTCTCCAGATTTTAAATTATTTCGTTTACACGCTTTTTACAGTTTTTTAAAAATATTTTTATTTCTAGTCAACTTTTTAAAGTATCCTTCTCAAAAGCGTTACCCTGACAAAAGTTCTTAACACTTTAGAACCTTTCGTTACTTTTTAAGTTGCATTCTGACTTAACAAAAAACGAATATTAAACATACTTTAGCAGTTTTACTGTGACACGAAAACGATTTTTTTGTTGCATTAATTTAATATGACGCGTTAAAACGAATATTAAAAATATTTGTTATTGCATTAATCTAATTTGTGAAACAAATAGTAAACATATTGATATCAAAAATTAAACACATTAGGTACCCCAAAACAATTAATTAACATTTTTATCACATATACATTGATTACTTATTTTCGATTATTTATTTTCTTATTTACTATGCATTCTTGAACAGGTAACTTATTTTTGCAGACCACCAATTTGAGGAGAATTTATGTTCAGCGCATGCGCATTATTTTCACTGGCAATAATTTTAATAACAGCTCATTTAAAAAGAATTCTTGTAAAAAAATCATTTTTATAGAGACATTAGCAAAGCAAAAAACTTGCAAATTCCAACATCATAGACATTTAAGTATATAAGACCTCCACAAGTGAAAAAACAAGCCAGCATCCAAGTGGCTTTCGCTACAGGTAAGCCAGGTCTCCAAAAATAATCAACCAGAATTGCTTTCACTCCCCTAGTAAGATAAAAACGATTTTAAAAACAAATATACTGTAAAAGAAAATGATTATTACAAAGTAAAATCATGATTATAAAAGAAAACGATGACTATAAAGTAAAATCATTTATAATGACAAAAACATCACAAACAAAAAACACACAAATATTTTTTTTTCCCCTCTGTCAAGAGATATTTATTAACCGATTATACAGATCAAAATATATTTAATGTTTATTTTAATATAAAGAGTATTATGACAATATATTTTAAATAGTTTTAATAAATTAGAAACCACCGTAAATCTAATTAATATACTTCATAAAATATTAGTTACAACTAGAGATTGCGATTTCCCGGACTTTTTACAATCCTGGAATAGCGGTAATTACTTGTAGCGTTCCCGGGATCCAAATGACTGTCTAATAATCTAGTTCTAAACTTTGTAAAAAATAAACCTTTTAAACTAAACAAATTGAATTCTTGACGCACAATTGACTTATTGCAATCGACTATAAAGTCTTTTTTTTTCACAAACTTTTCTAACCTTTCAGCCATAGATTCTTATGACTTTTCTAAACTACATTACTATTGTTAAGCTTATCATTAATCATAATATTGTTAAGGTTGTCATTATCAATAATTTTATCTCCTATTTTTGGTATATTTTTAAATATGGAGAAAAGTCTCTCAGTTAATTCAATAGCTATATTTACCATCTTTGTTTTCGATAGTATGCAAAATAAGTTATTATGCATATCACTTTTTAAAGAATGTGGATTATCTAAAAACCTTAATAAACCAACAAGATCGTATTTCCTCCTTTGACATAACCTTTCAATTAGAGCATTCATAAGACTAAATAGCAATCTTGAGCATTAAATTCTTTATTAATAAACTTTAATGTGTTATCGGCTGTTAATAATGTTGCTTCCCTTCTACAAATCATTTCAGAACCTAAATTGGCTCAAGATTTTTTGCTAAAATTTCAATTGTTTCCAGCTCATCATCGGACAACATGAGTTTTTCTAAACTGAAATCCACCAGAGATTTACCAACTGCTTTTTTAACTTTAATAAATCTTTGAATCATGGCCAGCATTGAATTCCAACGAATTTTTGAATCTAAAATAAGTACTAGCTCTTGTCCATATTCACTTTTAGAATAAAGTTTTAAAATATCTATTTTTAAGGCAGATCATTTAAAAATAGTGTTTCGATCCGTGATCGGGTCCAACGGTTCAACGGTATCACGGTTTTTATCCGGATAATTATCCGGCTAAAAATATCCGGGTCAGATCCGATATCTGGATAAAAAATATAAATTTTTTTTTGTTAATATAATAATCTTTTTAATTTTCATTTCATGTCCTTTTTATAACATTTATTTTAGGTATATATAATAGAATATTTAGAATATATAATAGAATTATTCAATAATTAATAAGAAATATGTAAATACTATCAAAATAAAATTCTTTATTTAATAAAAAAAACTTTTTTATTTTTTATTTTTTAACTTTTTTAAAAAAAATACTTTTAATAAAATAATAAAAAATTTAATGTCATTCATCTAAAAATTCATCTAATTCATATTCATCTTCCACAAAATCATTATTTTCCATATCCAAGTCTGATGGAAACACATTAATATGATCCATAGTTTTCATGCTACGTTTTAAAAATACCATTTTACCTAATAAACCAGGATCCAATAAACTTCTATTTGCTGTAATGTGATTTCATGCATCTGAGAAAAGTCGCTCAGAAGCTACAGAAGTAGCAGGAGCTCCTAAATATTTTTGCGCAATAATAAAAAGGATCGAAAAATTTCCTGTTTTGATTTCCACCAATCTAATGGGTTTTTATTTTCCCTAGAAACTGGTTAGAGAAAATAAGGAATTTCATCAGCTGTCGCTGATGATGAAGTAGAACTTTCTTTTGTTTGAAACACTTTTTTTACTTTTTGTTGACGTCTTTCTTGGTGCTCATGTAAAGATCTCATGATATGAATTGAACTTGTTGAAGTAGATATTGTTGAAATTGTGGGTGATGGTGGAGCACTACCTTGCTGCTACATTTCTCTTCTTAATTGATCATATTGTATTTGTAAACTTAAATTAATTTTTACTTTTGTTTCTTCATCAGTTATAAAATTTAAATCTTTATACTGTGGATCCAAAAGTGCTGCCATAATGCCAAATTCATCTGGCATTGCCTAATAATGTTTCAAACCTAAATAAATTTTATTTTTTACATTCTTTAAACTTCTGAAATATTATTATAATCTACTTCAACTTTCTTCCTCCGTATCAGAAATAATAGTATTATCATCAGAATCTTCAGTTACTTCATGTAAATTATCAAATGGTTTTAAAGAATTTGTAAGATTTGTAATAATAGGAAACATTTGGCTTAAAGTAACATAGGTATTTCCAGAAAAATCTTGTGTAGCTTTCTCAAATGGTGCCAAAATGTTACATAATTCATCTAATAACTCCCACTCATATCCTTCAACATCATTTTTTAAAATCTATTTCCGTCAGCTTTTTCTTCAGAAATAAAAGAACAAGACAAGTTTATGTTAAGTTGAAGCACAGCAAATAAAAGAACAAGACAAGTTTATGTTAAGTTGAAGCACAGCAAATAAAAGAACAAGACAAGTTTATGTTAAGTTGAAGCACAGCAAATAAAAGAACAAGACAAGTTTATGTTAAGTTGAAGCACAGCAAATAAAAGAACAAGACAAGTTTATGTTAAGTTGAAGCACAGCAAATAAAAGAACAAGACAAGTTTATGTTAAGTTGAAGCACAGCAAATAAAAGAACAAGACAAGTTTATGTTAAGTTGAAGCACAGCATATTGAAGAAAAATAAGCCGATCCTATTCCAAATATGAAGAGTTCCACCTTAAGTATTTAATAATAATTTTATAAGAATTAGAATAAATATTATTAAAATTTTAAATTAATTTAAGATATTTACCTAGTAGATATATCTTGCATTAAATTTAATGGTTCTTCATATCCAATCTCCTTTTGCACTTTAACTAATCTTTCAATTTGTTTTTGGGTAGAAAAAAATTTAATTAGTTTTTTTGTACATTATACTAAATCTTTTACAACTTTCAATCCTTTGCTAATTGCTGCAAAGTATGAGCAGCACAAGAGTCTTTTAATTGGTGCTAAATCTCTAATAGCAGCTACCATATTAGTACCATTATCACTTATTATTTTCCCACTTTTGCATAGCCTTTTTGATAGCTTCAGCAATTGCTTTTGCAGTATGTGGTGGTGGGAAATAGGATATTTCAAGCAAAGCATTTCAAAATTTTTGATCCAAATTGCTCTTAAGCCTAAGTATCCATGTTTTGAACGAGAAGAAAGAAAGAGTTAAATCAGTAGTTAAAGATATTGATTAGGCAGTCTTTAAAAGCAATTTCAATTTTTCTTTATTATATCCATAACTACAAGCAATCATCATTCTTACTTTTTTTTCCCCCAGGAACTGTAAATAGTGGATCTATAATATACATATGTACGATGGCTTTTGGGTTATGGTTGATAATGGTTGAGTTGTTTGTAAAATCCATCATAAAGTTGACAATTCTTTTTCTTTTTGACTATTTTTTTATTGGATATAAGTCGAGTATGCATTGTTGATATAATACCAGTTTCTGTCGGTGGTATAATTCCATGCTTAACAAGATGATAACTGAGATTTCCTGTATACCCATCATGCTTGTAATTTTTTTAGCGTCTTTCTTCATTATCTAATAAAAATTGACAATATGCACGTATTTCTACTTTATCATTTTGTTTTCTAATAAAATAATCCCATACCCAACTTGCTTTTGATTGTGGTTTAATTATTGCAGCAGTTTGTTTGAAGGGATTAGAATCATTTGATGCTGATGTTTAATTATTGCAGCAGTTTGTTTGAAGGGATTAGAATCATCTGCTGTTGATTCTAGTGCAGTCGATGATTCTTGGTTTGATTTTATACTACTACTAGTAGTGCTTGTCATTTTTTGTTTTCCAAGGGCTTTAGATAATTTTACAGGCCATCCTCTTTTTTTCTTAGCTAGTGGTATTGGAGTAATTTCAACAACTTGATCAATACTAGAATCTTCATTTTCACTTAAGGTAATGTAATTTTGATCATTTATATTTTCCATAATTCTGTGAATTATTTAGCTATCAATAAAATAAACTTTAATTGATGTTATGAAAAATCCATGGGCAAAACAAAGTTGATATTCAGTAGAACAAATATTTCCTAATTTTTCCATAATTGAAGTACTATCTATTGTTATGCAAACTACATCACTGGAAAAACTAACATTAGACATGTCTAATTTTTTGATAAGTAGTTTAAGACAATCATTTGCATTAAATGATCCAACCATTCTCTCTAATCCAAAATTTATAAAACCACTATTAAAGTGAAGATTTATATTCATAAACCTGCCATATTTTGAATATTCATCCAAATCTATACTGAATCTAATAAAAATTTTTTTATTATAGAATCAATTGTAGATTGAACACAACGTTTTTTATTTGACGGTTCACCTTCACATTCTTTATTTAAAATAATATTGGGCATTTTCTCTTAATGTCTTTTCAACCCAACGGTTGATGCGCCTTTGCATAATATTATTTTGGGACATTGTTTGTATTGTGCTTCATCATAATTTTTGATATCAAAATAATTCTAAACCTTTGAAATTTTACGATTTGAAAACATTTTTATAAAAATTATTAAAATTTAATCGCACAGTGATAAATTTCATTAAGTATACAATAACATTAGGTGATCTTCTGATTTAATAAGTGCTTATCAGAGTCTTATTTTCCGGCCTGGTGGAAAGCGGCATCTTTTATCCCTATTATCAAAAATTTTGGAGAGCAATTTGACTTGTCTAACTACTGCCCCATTAGTTATCTTCCTATCGTAAGCCAGGTTTTTGAGTCTTTAATATATTAACACTTAATCTCTCATCTTGAACTTAATAACTTACTTTCTGATCATCAATATGGATTTCAATCTTCTTGTTCTACTGCTGATTTAGTAATGGTAATAACTGATAGATTTTATAGTCCAATAGATAGATGTAAAGAGGCTAAGGTTTTAGCTCTCAACCTTTCTAAAAGCTTCGTTAAAGTTTGGCATGCTGATCTTTTCCATAAGCTTTCTTCTTACGATGTATCAGATAATATCTTTAAGATTATTGAATCCTTTCTTACCAATCGTAGTATAAAAGTTATCCTCGATAGACTCTTCTTCATATCCAGTAACTTAGGGGTTTCTCAAGGTTCTATATTTGGCCCTATAATTTTTTAAATTTACATCAACACTCTTCTTTATATCCTGTAACTTCAGGGGTTTCTCAAGGTTCTATCCTTGGCCCTATACTCTTTTTAATTGACATAAATGATCTTCCAGAAATTCTCTAAGGTGGCATTTTTCACTAATGATACTTTTATTTATTCTTGTCTTGATAAGTAACCAACGCTCTCTGATTGCTTAGAAAGGGCATTTGTGTTTGAAAAGATCTCACTTCTGCCGACCGATTCTTGCAGCTAACCTCCAACCATCATCACATCATTGTAATGTTGCTTCTCTTTCTTTTTTCTATAATTACTATAATGGGCACTGCTCTAAAGAGCTAGCACCTCTTGTTTCATCTACTAAAATTCATTCTCGGGATACTTACCATTCAATTAAGTCTCATCCTTTTACTGTGACTGTTCCTAAGAGCTCCAAAATTCTAATTCGTCTTGTTTTTTTTCCTCGAACATCAGTTCTTTGGAATTCGCTTCCTTCATCTTGCTTTCCTGATTTATATAATTTGCAATCTTCTAAGTCATCTGTCACTTGTTATCTTACTCTATAAACTTCATATTTTTTCTTCCAGTAACTCACAACTCTAATGAAGATGTCAAAAAAAAAAAAGTCCTTCAATACGTATATATTTTGTTCAAAACCTTTTGTGCACAATTGACACGGCAAGCTACCACAACTAATAAGCAGAATCTTATTAAATAAAAATTTTCAAAAGAAAATTTATTGTTGACTTCATTAAAGATAAGTACAAGAACAACCCTGAGAAAAACTTTGTATGATAAAATTCCTCAACTAACTTCTGTAAAAGTTTATTAAAACTAGCTAGTTACTGCTTGTTGCAATTATTTTCATTTTATTTTGTATTTAAATTTAGTTTACAAAATTAATTGCTAAATATTTTCTAGCGGAGTAAAATTAAATGTTTTAGCTAGATGAAACTTATTTTTTGTTTAAACGCATTTTTATTTACCAATTTGAATTTATTTAATCAAAATTTAAATTGCATAAATTTAACATAAAGTTGCATAACTATATACACAAAGAATGTGCTGAAAGACTTCTAGTTTTCAAGTTTTTTTAAATATTAAAAATAGAAGGCTAACCACAATAAAAGAAAAAAAAAAAAAAAAAAAAAAAAAGCAAAACTGAATTGTTTTTTAAACTTTTTTAAAAAAATTAATTAAGAATAAATGGTTAAACAAAATATATAGAATTTTAGAGCCCCTCTTCCTTAATAGTTGATGAGAAAAAGGTTTTACAGATGTAACTGATTAAATGTTCAACAGCAACTGCGCTATTTTTTATAAGCTAATTTAATTACATCAGCTTATCAAAAATAATAGAAAAAAAAACAAACTAATAATACATTATTTTAACCATGTGGTCACATATTGGAATTTTTTCAAAATTAACTACATTCAAAGAAAATTCTTCTAGATGTTACTAGACTTGGAGGAAAACTACCAGATGTAGTTACATCTTCCTAAAGATGTTATTAGGGGTCTTTGAATTTTCAGATGATATTGGACATATGTTATTAGGTAAAAAAAGAATACAGATGATATTAGACTACTCCACAGATGTTTTTTACCCTATTGGAGCTTTTGCAAACAAGAGGACAATAGTAATCAAGATTTGGATTCAAGGATAAAATAACAAACTTAGATTAGTCTTACAGATCAAATAGATCTGGTGAATTTTGAAGAAAAATTCAACAAATGAAAGATTACTTGAAAGAGCAAGAATATTTGTAAAATAAAATTTGTAAATTTAAAAAAATTTGGTGATGATGTTGGTTTTATGATTTATACTAATTTATGATTTATGATATTATTTTATGGTTTATATTACTTTATGGTTAATGATATTATTTTATGGTTTATGATATTATTTTATGGTTTATGATGTTAATTTTATGGTTAATGATATTATTTTATGGTTTAAGATGTTATTTTATGGTTTACGATATTATCTTGTGAAATATGATGATATTTTATGGTTTATAATATTTTTTTATGGTTTATGAAATTATTATTGGTGTTATAGTCACTAATATTGTACTGAACTTGACTCATAAATAGTGCATGACACCCTAAAAATAAGCTATGCAGTTGTTGTCTAAATATTGTTAATAAATACTCTAAATAGTAACAAATAATTTCTTATGTAGCCTAAACAATGTATAGCAAAAAGATTAACAGAGACGCCACCCAGGTGCAACAGAGACGCCACCCAGGTGCAACAGAGACGCCACTCAGGTGCAACAGAGACGCCACCCAGGTGCAACATGGTATTGCTGTTACTCAGATGCTTTACAGTTGTTAGAAGAACCTTAGTACTACCAATCAGTCTCAAAACCATTAAACTTAGAGCAGCAGGCTTATTAGAAGATAAGACAAAGAGTTGTAATAATAACATAGACACAAGTTAAAACCCACGAGTAGAGTCAAGAAGATTCCTTTGTTACAACTTAATTCAACCCTTTGTTGTAAAAGAAAAAAACACATTAAATACTGTTATGAAATAACAACACACAACAATATTTTTTAAGTACATTTCTTCATTATTAATTGGCTCAAAACAGGTGTCAGTCTTTCTGTATCTGTGCCTCTCTAACTTGCTTTTTAACTAAAGAGGGGCAACCAACCATTAGTATTACTGCCAGACTATTACTAGAGTTACTAGAAGCTGACTAATGGTTAGTCGCTTCCCCTTAAGCAACTTATCTTGCAGGCATATAGGATACTGATGGATAACATTTTCAGTCCTGTAATATAAATTTCTTTTTTATTATCTATTTAAAGTATAAATGTTTCAATTACCAGTAGGAATGAAGCGGAAGTGCCACAGCAAGTAAGTGATCGATTGTTGGCAATGGATATATAATACCCATTGGAATTAACCCTAATAATCCAACTGCAACAACCCTTTCTGTCATCCAATGTTTTGAACCATGACTTGGATCATTTGGCACTATTTAAAAAAACAATAAATAGATATCATGTTAAATATAAAATAATTTTTATAATAAAACAACTGCAATGTTAAAATATGAAAAAAATTGTTTAATAAAATAACTACAAGCTTTTATAAATTTTGTATAACAAACCAGAATAATATTAATAGAGATGAATGCATGTACCACATCTATCATAGAGATAAATATGTGTATCAAGATAAGTGTAACTATATGTAAAAAATATTTTAACTAACTAATATTATAATTCATAATGTGTGTAAGTTTTTAACATGCTTAACTTGTAAGTGTTTAACATGCTTAACTTGTAAATATATTTCAGTGATGTGTGACTTGTTAATGAAAGCAAAATCTGATTATCTATAGATGATTATTATAATTAAATTTAAATCTATGTATTTTTTGTTGTGAATCTTGTTTCAAGTATCTTGTATTTTTCTTAAATTATGCAAATAAATTATAACTTAATTATAATTTAATATAAATTATTCAATCATAATACAAACATAATAATAAAAGCTTTCCTCTAAAAGTTATATGTAATTGTAAGGACTTACAAGCAAATTTTTGAGACAAATTCTTTACAGATGTGTGATAAACTCTTTTTTTCTCTAAACGCAAAACAAACAAAATAAACATACACTGTATTGAAATAAATTTTAAAAATTATACTTTATTGAATAAAATTTCACTACTTTCTTTGCTTTTTTTTCAGTAAAACCAGATTAAGCAGTGGTCAAATTTTTAAATTTTACTTATTTTATTTTCTAATGCTTTAAAAGTCACTTCTATTTTTACATTTTAAGAAACAGATACATTTTTTTATACTATACTAATTTCAGTATTTAAAGAATATTTATTATCGATAAATTATTATACAATTTAAAAATAAAATTTTTTGATATTTTATTATTGTAAAAATATATTTTTATTAAATATTTAAACCTGAAACAAAATATTATTTTACACTTATTAACTGAATTATATAGAGTTTATAAGTAATTACCTGAAGTATATAGGATTTATAAGTAATTACCTGAAGTATATAGGATTTATGAGTAATCAGCTGAAATTGTCCTTCAGCCTCAGCCCTCGGAATTAAAAAAAATTAGGCCAGCAATATTATAATATCTGCAAAAAAAAAATTGATACTAAGGTTTTATAAAACGTAGAAACGAGGTCGACCATTTTTTGCTGCCCTAAAACACTTCTAGGTTGGCAGTTAGGTCAACATTGCCAAATACCAACCCTAATTCTGAGGGCTGCCTAAAGTATAGCATTTAGAATTATTTAGTTTAATAATAAAAGAAATTTGCTTTAATTATGGTTGCACATCATTGAGTAAAACTAGTCTACAATTTGTTATTTTACTGTGGACACACCAATTATAATTAAATAATTTTATTATTTAGGTCATTCTATGCAAAGTGGCATATATTGACCATTTTGTTGATTTTTTTTAAAAAAAACCAACTAAAACTTTAGAACAACATTGACCACCTTAGATTTTTATGAAACTGTTGGTTAATTAAAATCAATCATTAATTAACCCACAGTTTCATAAAAAGGTGGTCAATGTTAAACTCTAAAGTTTTAGTTGGTTTTTTTTGTAACTCATGAGATATGGTCATTTGATTTTTCTTCAAACAAAACCTTTAGTAGTAAAACATTTTTCAAAATAAAATCTTTAATACTTTTTAGCTCTTTGCTTTAAAAAATATATCAGAAGAAATATTTTTTATCATAGACAATTTTTGCCTTTAGTAAAAACATTGAATTTTATCTCATGATTAATCCATAAGAGCAGTAAAAAAAACCCTAAAAAATAATTAGTGAGTTAACTTTTCAGTAAATAATAATGAAATCCAAAAAATGGCTTCAGCTAGAACTCAAAAATGTATCTTACAACTACCAAAAACTTAGGGATCAAAACTGTATTTAATAATAATTTTTTTATCTATGGTACAGTGGTTCAGAAATGTTACTTTTAATGATCTTTGTAATTTTTGAAGCTTACACTGTGAAATTTTTAGTGAATAATTATTATACTCTGGCCTATTATTATTATTATTGTTATGTCCCTCACCATGTCTCTGATGGGTACCAACCATACAAAACCAAAGACAAATGATATAAGAAACAATAGATATGCGACACATGTTTCGTACTTAATTCTCACATTCTATTGATTATAAATAGCTATCAGTATGTATGATACATTTTAGTTTAATTGGATAAATATCATTCGTGTGCAGAACACCAAGAACCCATAGCATAACAAAATTTCACACTTTTTTTTTTATAAACTTATTTTAACAGACATTTTTTAAAGAGCTTTTAACTAAATAGTTTAGAGACATATGGTTAATGACAGCATAAACATGAAGATTAACACATCCAAGACAATATAAAGAGCACAAAGTAATAGCATAAGATTGTTGCATATCATATACTTAAAGTAATGGGTCATGCCATATGAAATCTAGACCATATCATCTATGACTCAAAAATGTTTTGTTTTTACATCATTTGCAGATCATATTAAATAAACGATAACTGCAAAAATTTTAATTGAAATGCTGACTCAACATTTTTGTGGTTATCTGAAAAGACAACAAAACAACTTTGATATCTTAACAAAGGATTTTCCTAAAATTTGGAACTATAATAGATTTTTGCTTGAGAAATTCAAAAATACTACTATTAGTACTTGATTGTCTCAAAAAATGCTTGTTTATGTAATTTTATTCAAATTTATTGACTTGTAAATTATTGAATTTAGTAATTTAATAAGTCAATTTACAATAAATGGAGACAGTCACCTGAAATCCCTGGGGAAATTGTTGGTTGTATATCATAACTTTATCTTGGGTCAATAAAAAAAAAAAAAAAAAAAAAAAAAAAAAAAAAAAAGATATTTGCAGTAATACTTAGTAATATTTGATCAAAGTAAGCGCTCAAAAGTAAAATTTAAATTTTGTAAGCAAGGAGATATTGTTTTTAAAAACAATTAATTTTTATAAATGCAATGCATTTATATTAGGCCGCACCAAGCGTGAACAGGGCTGTCCCGAAGAAATTTTAAAGGGAGGGGTGGTGGTGGTGGTGTTGTGCCTGTTTTTTGCCAACTAAAGCCAAAAAAAATTTCTTTCTTTTCTGATATTTGCCAACTACCAACAATGGATCCAATTTTGCAAACTCCAGTTCCACTTTGCCGACCAAAAAAATTTGTAGGGGGGCTAGACACCCCTACACCCCTCTTGAGATGGCCCTGAGCGTGAACACCTAAGAGATGAATAATAAGTTAAAAAAAGTGTAATAGAGTGAGATAAAAAACAAAAGGACAGATGTCCAGTGGAAAAAAAGAGCAGAAAAATAATAAAATAAATCGTGATAAAATGTAGTTAATATAAACAAGATTAATAAAAAATTTATAGATGGTGAAAGTCATTAAAAGTCATATTAATGAACAGATGTGTAGAGCATAAGTGTGATGCATAAAATTTTTCAGTAATGGAGCAGAATTATTCGTTTTATAAGTATTTACCATGTGCTCTGTGTTATTAGCTACCATTTGGTCTTTGTTATTAGTGAGTTAAATATACATTAAAGATATGTGTTTCTTGAATGTCTCGTGCATGAAAATGTAGAAATTGATGCCTCATTGTACAGCATAAACAGAAGAGAACCTCCAGCTTTCAAAGTGTATGTGCAGTATGGCTGATTTTGTGTATTGGGTGGTTTACAGTAACTATTTAATAATGAGATTATAATATTAGGAACAATAATAGAGGAAAATTAACAAAAAATATATAAAAAAAAAGTAAAGTGTTAATTCAGGATGTGAGACTATGTACATAAGCAGGTGTTTCTTAATTGTGCGGGTTCTTTTTTTTATGAGTTATGTTAGGTAAATAAATTCACCAACAGTATATGTGGTTGTCAAGAAGATAATCAATACTCCGCAGTCTACAAACGTTATGTAAATGCAATGCATTTTAGTGAAGTTGCACCACGCAGTGAACGCCTAAGGAACGCCTATAAATAGGATTAATAAACAATAATCAGGATAATGTAAGTCATCAATTGTTGTGCTAATGAAAAGTTGTTAGTGTAGAGCATAAATGTAATGCATAGAAAATGTCAATGGTGTAGCAGAATTATTCCCTTTAGAAGTAGTTACCATGTGATCTGTGATCATATGATCTGTGTTATTTCTGAGATAAGCATTATAGATATGTGTTTCATGAATATCCCACGGATAGCTATGTATGAACTCGTGCCTCATGGTACAGCATGAACACAAGAGGGTCTCCGCTTTCATCTGAGACTGACATCCCACAAGAGAATCTACTATGGGTGTACACCAGGGTATCTTTGTGTTTAAATATTCCTTATTGTTATCCCAAAAGGAGTTTTCTCTGGGTATTCCATCAAGGTGATTGCCACAGACCTCTGCATAGATACAATTGTAAGAGGTTATTTGACATGGGTGTAGCAGTAACTACAGTGATTTGTTGCAGTATACATTGAGGGTTGGTGAATACAACAAATAATGTATATAGTCAGCGACGTATCCAGGCTGACTTTGATACCAGTATACCGGTATGGGCCCCCAAATTTCAGCCCAAACTCAATTTAAAACATTTTTTTTAGCACCTTAAAAATTAAAAGAAAATAATTCTTTATTACTTATTGTCTTGCTGTTTTGTGATAAAAATTATTATAATAATTATGACGATAAAATTTGTTATGTTATTGTTGCTTAAAAAAACCAACATTTGAAAAACAACTTTTAAAACACATAAATGTATTTTATGTCAATCAGAATGCTTAATTCAAATTCGCCTTGATGAAATATAGAATATGTTACAATTGGATTAAAATGTAAAATGCACTTTTTTATTGGATTAAAATGAAACGCTTAGCGTTTTTAAATAAAAACATTAACATTTTAAAGATACTCTAATATGAGTTTCTGCTCTGCTTACGTTTTCATAATATAATTTTCAAAGCAATTAAACTATATGAGCTTTAAACTTTTTCATTTCAAATAACAATAAAATTGCATTAAAAATATTTTAAATAATAAAATAAATAAAAGTTTTTAAAACATAATAACGTTATAATAATCATGTCAAAAAACTTGGTTTGAAAAGTAAGAGAAGAACAAGAAAAAAAAGTTATTAATTTTTGAATGAATTGACCTTGTAATGCAATAAATCTGACCTTGTAATGCTTATATTATTATAGTTACAATTAAAAAATCTCAAATTCAAATAAAACGATAACATTATAGCAACAATATCTTGACAAGTGGCATTAATAATCTTAATTCATACCAGGGTATTTATAGTTGAAGTATTTCTGTGTTATTCCAAAAGAACTCATCTCAGGGCATCCCATCAGGAAAAGTACCACAGACCTCCACATTAACGCTAATAGGAATAACATAGCAGATGTTATAACAAAGAAAACTTAACCCATCACAATCAGTCAAAATGACTGCTGTACATTTGATTTTAATTTTTATGTATTTTGCTAATACAATCTGTCAAATGTATTAGCAGATTAAAAGATGTAAACAGTTATTGTAGAAATTTGATGTTATCAGCTTTCAAAAAAATACTCTATTTCATCTGGCTTAATACTTCTTAAACATAACAATGATTTACTTGTTGATATTAATGATGGCTGAAATTATAAATTGATATGGATTTATATAAGAAAATACAGGTGGTAGATAGCTTAGTTATAATTTTCCTTAGACTAATAATTATTTTAAATATAATTGGTTTTTATCACATATTAAATTGAAAGACACTGCATCCTAATGGGCCAATATAAAAAAAATAATAATAAAAAAACTTGCCTACAGTTTTATCAAAAACAGTATGACTACTTGGCCTGTTAGTATAATAGGCGATAAGCAGAATACATAAGTTTATTTTTAAAAATGCAATATAATTTTAAATAAGTAAACTTTTATATACTTTCTAGTAGTCAGGTAGTAACTTTTAAAAAGTTAGTATTTATACTCAAAGCATACAGGCTTTTATAGAAAAAAATATTAACAACACTTACAAAATCTTTTTATTTTTTTAAATCTAAACTATTTCCATCTTAAATAAAAGAACATAAAAATTAAAAACTATAATTATAAATAACCTATTAATGATGAAGATGAAGGCAAAACAAGTTTTACTCTTAGTCTTTCTGATGTCACACCTAAAAGAAAAAAGTTTTAAAGAACAATAAAATATAAAAAAGAAAAAAAAGAAAAAAAAAAAAAACAACTATAAAAACATGTGTTAAAAAAACTCATCAGAATTCCACTTTACACAAACTTGTCTAAGTTTTAATATACTTGTGTGTTAGTATGTATGTATGCATGTTTATGTGTCCATACTGGACACATAAACATGCATACATACAATAAACATGCATAATGTGCATATGTTTATAGCATTATTATATATTATATAGGTTATATATGGTTATCTAGATATCAACTAATATAGGTATTTATATAGGTTTATTATTTAGCCTCTGTGTTTAGTTTGTTATTGCAGATACATGCTTCGGCTGCTTTTGAAATTACATTAGTGTTTGTAAAACTATGAAAAAATCATTTAAAATTTGAAAAGTCGTGTTTCATTTGAAAAATTCTTTTTTAAAACACCTCAGAAACTCAAAGCTTCTTATTTTGTCATTTAGAGTAACGCAACAAAAAGATTACACAGCACAACAAAAAATATTTGAGGTTTGACAAAAAAAGACATAACTATTTTACCCTCCTATATCTTTCTTTATAACTAAGAACCTTGAGGTTTTTTGCATCAATTTATTCTAAAAAGTATTAACTTTTATATAACTTTACTTATATATTATTCATGTCTTGAGACCACTATTGATAAAAAAAAACTTGCTGCAGGAACATTTTTTTAAAATAAGTTTTTGAATTTCAGAATTCCTAAGTACCAAAACACATCAAATTTGTTTAAAACTTTCCATATAGATAAAAAAAAAGATCAGGATTCTAATGGAATGGGGATCCTTTTTAACCATTATACTTAATTGGTTAGTTCTCAGAGTTTAAATACATTAGAATAACTTTATTAAAAAAAAAATTTTTTTTTTAATAAAGCGATTTTAATATATGTAAACTGGGAAAAAAGCAAGTATATTCTTTTCTCTATTCAAACAAATTATTTATGGTTTTTTCTAGAAATTGTATATTATTCTTTTCGATTTTTTTTTTTTTTTTTTTTCACTTTTTGTGAATTTTTATGTTTTTTTATTTTATTTTGATGCCATTACACAGCCAATTTTTTTTACAAAAGTACAAGGCGTTTTGTCAAAAAATCAGTTTTTCCAGCAAAAAAAATGCAATACTTTATACATGTTATTACAATAACATCAACCCCTCATTTATTTTAGTTCTAAACAATCATATTAATCATATATAAATATATAAATAAAAAAAAATACCATGTGGAATACTTAACACAACATGCTTAATTGAACATATTTTAATCCATTTATTTAACCATTAAATATGAAAATTTACAATAATATCTTATAAACTCACATAAATAAGGTTAGGTGTCACTCATATACTTAAAAACTAGCCAATGGAGTGACACCTAAAAAAAAATAGAAAAAACAAAAAAAAAAAAAAAAAAGAAAAGAAAAAACAAATACAAAAAAAAAAAAAAAAATTACAAATAAAACATAGAATTTAAAATAAGATGAAAAGGAGCAAAAAATAAATAAAATAAAAAAAAAAAAAAGGAAAGAAAGGAAAATAAAGCACTAATAAATAAATAAAGTATTGATAATAGCAATAATAATATAATAAAAACAATAATATTAATAATAATGTAATAATGTGAATAAAAAAATATTACAAATAGTAGCTATAACATGACAACTTTACTTTTATAGAGAGCTTGCCGAATTTGTCGTTTTACCTTTTTAAAAAGGAAGTGTGCAATTTAAAATTTTCAGTATTTTTAGTGTAATATTTGTGTCACTTGTTTAAATAAAAATATGATCAAACGAATTTGGTAGTTTATTTTGAAGAAAAATAAAGACAAAGAGGCAATCATAAAGCTTTACAAGATCTTGAAATTTTAGAATTTTTAGTTCAGAAAACCTATTTTTGATATTAGAATGTATAGGAGAAAATGTCATAATTCTTATGGAAGTGCGTTGTAAACTGTTTATACAATGTAATAGAAAACTACCTTTTTGATCCCAAATAGTAACACGAGGAGAACAAGGAATAGTAAATTGATATTAGAATATGTTGGGGAACATAGTGTCGTATTAATGACAAAATAATATTGTCATGTGAGAGTTTTTTATTTAATTGAATTAGTTGATAGTACCATGATAGGTTTTTGTCAAGAAATAGTCCGAGGTATTTTATATATTTAGATGGGAAAAGTCTTTTACCGTTAATTCTAATTTTCACATTTTAATTAATTTCAAATTTCATATTTTATTCGGCTTTTCAAAGATGCTCCATATCTTCAAATTCATTTTCATATTTTCACTGTCATACACAAATAAAAGTTTGAAAACGAACACATTGTGTACAAAATTTGTGAAGTTTTTTAGGTTTAAGTTGATCAACCAACTTTAAGTAGGTTGACCAGATCAGTAGGTTGATATAAATAAATATAATTGAAACTTTTAAATCTAACTTTTCGTTCTAAAAATTAAAAGATCTGATAAAAAAGTCCTTTTAAAAAATATTGCAAATAATGTTTTTTTTATTACCTTTTAGCATAGAAAATTTTGGTCTTCCGAAACGGATGGCAGCGTTGTACAGAGTACAAACGGCCATTTTCTAGTAAATTTCTTAGTAAACTAAAATATAAATAAAACTTGGTGTTAAGAAAATCCAATACAAAAACATGTACTCCGCCATGTCGCTTAAATAACGCCTTCAGCGTAATAGTGCAGCGTTTAATTTTTAGATTGTCGGCTTAGCTCTAAATATTTCAAGTTGTAAATATTTAGGATCTTAATATTTTCATATTTTCATTTTTTAGCGCAGTTTATTATTAAAACATTTTAACTAAGTACAATAATATATATATATATATATATATATATATATATATATATATATATATATATATATATATATATATATATATATATATATATATATATATGCCTCAAAAAAAATTTGCCTCAATACCGCGGTTTGAGTTAGATATCTATATAGAGGAGAGTGGGGAGAAGTGGGACAGCCTGAAATTTCTAGTTAGGAGTGGTGCCTAAACACTGTCATTTAATGTAAACAATTAAATTTCTTCCCCTCGCTTTAGCAGAAATTGCTTTGTTTGCCTGCGTGCGCTAGAAGTCCTAATTTTGAAATGTACCTTAAAAAAGTGTTGGGGTGAAGTGGGACAGAAAAGTGTTGGGGTGAAGTGGGACAGTTTGGGTGAAGTGGGATACTGGGGTGAAGTGGGACTGAAAAAATAAATTTTTATGCCACGCTTCTTCCCTTCGCCATTTGATTATTTCGGTGAAAGCTCTTGAACAATTTTATGTCGATTAGGTGGTTTTATGATTTATCAGTTTTTATTTAATAATTTGTGTTAATATGTTGTTTTAAGTTTATTTGTGCCACTTCTACTCACACTTGTACCACTTTACCCCAGAGATACGGTTTCTCTAAAAGCAAAAATTTATTTATTTCGTTATAATTGGCTGGAAACATAAGGGGATTTAATTGGAGTCTAAAAAGAAGGTTTATTCGTAAAAACTTGTTTGGCTTATTTTATACATCAAATAAAAAAGATATTGCAATTACCCTGAAAAAAAATCTACGTGTCCCACTTCTACCCACTCTCCCCTATTTATATCATTGACTAAGTATTAGTAGTATTTGAATTACACGGAACAGGCGTATTTCATTAGCTAAACAACAGTTTGCCGTGTTTTAAGTGGTTGAAGATTTGCAGTTGTAGGTCTTTTTTGGTTGTTACCAATTCGAGTTCTCTTCTGGTAACATTGACGTTAGCGTCGTTCTCGTTCACACCCTAGTGGAAATATTTCTTACGAAAAAAAAAGTTCAGAAACGGATTGCATTTTCAAAACCACCGTACCTTGTTCTGTTATGACCTAGATTTTGAAAATATTCTGTCGATATCTAAAAAAATAAAAGGGGGTTAAACAAGCTGGTCCAGAATTTTTAGTGTTTAAGATAGATAACTTCCAGAAATGGTGCTTTCATAAAATTTTGTAATAATCATACTAATGCAAAATAAGAATGTTTTAGAAAAAATTGCGACAATCGGAGACTGGAAACAATATTAAACCAAAAATTTGGGTCCTTGTGTCCCATGTATGGTTTCAATAAAAAAAAAAAAAATTTTCATAATATCTTTAACTAAATTAAAATTAATCGACAGATTTAAATTTTCATACAAAAACCTCTTCTCTTTAAAAAGTTATTATTGTTTTTAGTTTTTTATTCCCCAATTAACTCCAAAAAATAACTTTAAAAGATCACAACTTTTAAACGGCATATTTTTTTGGAATGATATTTAAAATTTATCGATAAATTTTGATTCTAATAAATATGAAAAGAAAAAAAAACTCATAAACGTTTAAGGGCGTTACGTTAGGGGCGTGTTCTTAGAGATTTAATATGATTGGGCCCGATCACTGGACACAAATAAAAAGAAGATTTTAGTTTTTTGTTGTGTTTTTTAGTGATATTTAAAATAACAACTTAAAAATAACTGTTTCATATTTTACAAACTAACTTTTCACTATAAATTATATATAGAATTTTTTAAATATTCTTCTGTATGTTTTACCAAAGCGAGTTTATAAAATGTTGCATGTTTTACTTTTACAAACTACTGTTTTAATTTGTATTACGTCAATTTAAATAACCCTCAAAATCATTCTTCAGTGCTAAAATATTTGAAATTGGTTAATTAAAAACCACTTTTAGTATTAACGAGTTTTGAATTTTATGCATTACTGTAATTTGTGTTTTGTTACACGTTGCGTTTGTAATATCGTTAGTTGTGCTTTGAAAATTTAAATATTAATTATTATTTCACCTTTGAAATGCCATATTCAAGTCACAGTCAAAGTAGGAGTAAAGTTTGTTTAATTTGCTTTGAAAAAGGAAAAAATTTAAGTAAAATACAAGAAGGAAGTGTAGTTTTATTGAGAATTAAAAAATATTTCATTGACAATATTAATTTAAATGATAACCGTTTTCCAAATGGAATTTGTGGAAGATGTTGAACTAATTTAGTGAAAATGGAAAAAGGTAACACCAATATAGTTTTATGTAAACCATTTGATTTCTCTGAGATCAAAGAAACGATTCTAGCTAGAAACCAACAGTTTTGCCAATGTGATATTTGCCTTACTGCTAGGTGTAATTTAACACGTGGATCAAATATAGAAAAAAGAGGAAGACCAAAACTCAACATGAAAGTTTTACCCTCTCCTGGACCAGTTAAAGTTTGTAAAAGATGTGTAAATGTTATTGGACCAGGATTACACACCTGTTGTATTACAAAGCGAAGGGAAAACCTAATGACTAAATAAAGGTAAAAAAATATTAATTTCATTATTAAGTTCCTATTAAAACTAAATTATAATAATAATTCCAAAGTAATTACAAATTTTATATTGTAGATTTTTATTAAGACGATAGAGGTGCAGAATTGCAATGTTCAAAAACACTTAAACAAAAGTTTGAAAAACAAGGCAATTTAATCAAGGTTGCAACATGCAGAACTTCAATTAGTATACAAAGACCAAAAACTTCTTCTAAAGCTTTGTTTACTGATTCACCGATACATACAAGTGAAGTAAACAAATTAAAAAATGCATGTGGTCTCAGTAACACACAAGGTGCTAAAGTTTTAAGTATTTTTAGAAGTTGGAAAGGTCGCAAATCATTTGAAAAAAATACAAGAAATAAACTGATTGAAGAAGGCGTCATTTTAAATGAATGCTTTGACGTAAGACTGTTAAATTTGATGAGGGTGAAAAGGTGATGGCTTATTGCAAAGATATTCTAGGACTGGTGGAAAATGTTGTCAAAAAAAGAAATATTTCAAGTGATAATGAAAGATGGTGGGGTTAACAAACTCATTATTATTGCACTTGTAGAAAATTTGCAAGAATCTTACGCAAATATGAAAATAATAATCGATTTTATTAATTTAAACAGTATTAAATACTTTTGTGCTTCGATATGAAGTTGGGCAATATTTTTTTTGGAAAAGAAACTGCAGCCTTAACTCATCCTTGCCTTTGGTGTATAGCTAGAAAAAATGATTTTCAAAATTTTGAATTTCAAGGTGAACATAGAACGCTTGGAATGATTAGATCATTAGCTAATAATTACAAAAATGCTTGCAGAAATAAAATTAAAAAATCAAAGTTATCTGCAGTACCCTATCATAACTGTGTAGACCAACCACTTATTGATTTACCAGATGAAACAAAGGTTATAAAACTTCTTGCTCCGATGGAGCTACACCTTCTCAGTGGAAACACCAACAAACTTTTTAATTATCTTGATTCATATACAAAATCTAAAGAATTTTTTTTTAAAGCAGAGGAATGGAATGAAAAACTGGGGTTTAAAAGACCAAGGCTTCATGGAGGGCAATTTAAGGGAGGACAGTTTTCAAAACTTCTTAATAATATAGATATTTTGAACGATTTGATCAAGTCTTTTTCACTAGATAATGATGAACAACTTTCTTTCATACTACAGGCATTTAAATGCTTAAGAGAAGTTAAAGTTAGTTGTTTAGCGATGACTTTAGAACCCGACTACGAAATAAAAGTAAAAGATTATCAAGAAGCTTACTATAAACTTGGATTAAGAGTATCACCTAAAGTACATGCTTTAGTAAAACATACAGTAGAATTTTTAAAAATGATGTCAAGTGATTATCCAAACAAAGGTCTAGGCTATTGGAGCGAACAAGCCTCTGAATCTGTTCATCAAAATTTTAGTCAGTTCTGGGAAAACGGTTATAAGGTATCCAAATGTCACAAAAATTATTCGAAAAGATTGCATAAAGCTATTGTTACATATAACTCTCGTCATACTTTCTTTTCTGAAAGTCTTACTGATTAACTATATATATAATTTATTGTGAAAAGTTAGTTTGTAAAATATGAAACAGTTATTTTTAAGTTGTTATTTTAAATATCACTAAAAACCACAACAAAAAACTAAAATCTTCTTTTTATTTGTGTCCAGTGATCGGGCCCAATCATATTAAATCTCTAAGAACACGCCCCTTACGTAACGCCCTTGAAACGTTTATGAGTTTTTTTTTCTTTTCATATTTATTAGAACCAAAATTTATCGACAAATTTTAAATATCATTCCAAAAAAATATGCCGTTTAAAAGTTGTGATCTTTAAAAGTTATTTTTTGGAGTTAATTGGGGAATAAAAAACCAAAAACAATAATAACTTTTTAAAGAGAAGAGGTTTTTGTATGAAAATTTAAATCTGTCGATTAATTTTAATTTAGTTAAAGATATTATGAAAAAAATTTTTTTTTTTTTTTATTGAAACCATACATGGGACACAAGGACCCAAATTTTAGGTTTAATATTGTTTCCAGTCTCCGATTGTCGCAATTTTTCTAAAACATTCTTATTTTGCATTAGTATGATTATTACAAAATTTTATGAAAGCACCATTTCTGGAAGTTATCTATCTTAAACACTAAAAATTCTGGACCAGCTTGTTTAACCCCCTTTTATTTTTTTAGATATCGACAGAATATTTTCAAAATCTAGGTCATAACAGAACAAGGTACGGTGGTTTTGAAAATGTAATCCGTTTCTGGTGAACTTTCTGGTGTGCGTTCAACGTTTGCTCACGAGTGAGGAAACTTTGTATTTCTGAATCTTGCGAACGCCAC